GTTGTTGATAGTTACATAAACATAAATCTTGGCAATGGGTCACAGACAAAAAATGTTGCTGTCACTGCACATTTTCACACATAGCCGGATTTTTGTTTTTCCCCTCTGAACTTTTTATTGGGGGGCCTACGCGACTACGACTTGAGATTCGGAGCTCATTGAGACTTGGTTAAAGCGCAGCCAGCTCATTTGTATATTCGATTGTCAGCGGTGAACAAGTGCGGAACTAACCGAGCGGATAATCACCGAAATTCCCCCAAAAATCGTGCGTTTCCTTGGATTAAAAAAGATCAGGATCAAGATTTGTTGCCATGGACTTTGATGAGTTTCGTGAATTTGGACATGCCTCTATAGAGTTTCTCATCAACTATCTGAGTGGCATTCGTGAGAGGTGTGTGGTATAATTAGTATAATCCTTGATGTATAATCCTTCTAAACATCTATCTCTCCTTGCAGAGATGTCCTGCCTACTACGACTCCTTACGCTGTGATCAATCAACTGCCCAAGGAGATCCCCGAACAGCCGGAGCACTGGAAAGAAGTCCTTAAGGATCTGGAGAACATTATCCTGCCGGGACTGACCCACTGGCAATCGCCGTATTTCAATGCCTTCTACCCTTCCTCATCATCGGCGGGTTCCATCATTGGTGAACTCCTGATCGCGGGTATCGGTGTCCTTGGATTCAGTTGGGTAAGTGGAAAATACTTGGTAGGGAACATAGTGTATGTAGTTTACTTTATACATTAACTCAAATGTATAAAGTAAACTATATATAGGTATAATTTTCTATAAGTTTAAGTCCGTTTACAAATTTTTTAAATTGTAAATTCATTTCCTATAAAAATATAACCAAGCATATTTTAATACTCTTATTTAGTTCTTGTTTTTAAATCATGGTATTTTTGATATCGCGGATTAAAACATATGGGAATATTAAATGTTTCGATAGAAGATATTTTCAACAGTAGGTACACACTTTATCAATAAGTATCTTAGATTCCCCATTATATATTTGCACTTAAGGTTCCATAATATATTAAGTAAAATAGATATTATATCCCTTTTAGTAATTAGTTCACTTCCATTTCCGAGGCATTCGTGGTGAACAGGCTTTTCAAATGCAAACAAAAAAATTTGTTTTAATGCTTGTGAGAAAAAATTGTGTATGTTATAAATATTTTAATCTATTATTAACTACAGGAAGTAGTAGCAAGTAGTTTACAATTAGTTGTTAGCATTATATAAAAAATAAATTATTAACTACAGAAATTATGGTATCAAAACAACGAAAGTGAAAATGTACTGATGTACTTTGATTATAGCTCATTGATTTTAATATCACTATGCATATTTAATTCATAGTTTACTTGTTATGATGAAATAAATAGCTAGAAAATAAATACCACAAAATATGGAAAATATGAAAGATTAATCTATCTAATTTCATATTATAGTTCATTAAGGCCAATCTTGACAAACAACTCTAACTAACTTTAAAAACTATAATTTGGTCAAACAGTTTTATTAAGAGAAAAGTCAAAGAGAGCACTAAAAAAGAGTAAAGAGCTATACTAACGACTCAACAAAAAAGTGGGAACAGTTAGTAGACATCAGTAACTCTTTTAGTTGGTAACAATATCTTTGGGGCAAATCAATGAACAATCCAATAACTTGGTGTAAGGAACAAAGCAATCAGTATGTTTGGTAAATATCCACTTAACGATTAAGACAATTGCCAAGTAATTAATTTACCATAATTATATGCCAGGAATTATATGATCGTTTGGACTATACTTACGGTGCTTGTTTACTTCACGTAACTTAAAGATTTTACACGCTTGGTATGCCACTGTGTAGGGAAAACTTAGATATAATTTCGAAAAATAGCTGTATTAAATAAATAATAAAAATTATAAACGTTTTTGTTATTAGGTCAAATACCTCTAAAAACTTTAGAACCGTTAAGGAGCTTATTGTATAGTTCGGTCAGATCTCTGCTCTTTAATAACAAAACTGTTCGCTTTTAAAAACTGAAAAAGCCAGATTTTGGAAAACGGCTGAACTGGCAGTTCTGGAGGCTGTCCAGAGAAGTCGGTGTATAAAAGCCGGTCGTCACCGACGATCGGTTTCAGAGTTAACCTCAGGCGACTTGGAGTAGCATCAACGGATCGAATTGGGTGTTGTGTTGTTTAAACAAATCGAAAACGGAAAAGTAAAACAAAACAAACAGAACGTGAAAAGTGCAAATAGAAAATAATATCGAAACATTGTCAGCGAAATGGATGCCAAGGAGTTTCGGGAGTTTGGCAGGGCGGCCCTTGACTTTATAGCCGACTATTTGGAGAATATTCGGGATGACGAAGTGCTGCCCACAGTGGAGCCGGGCTATCTTATGGACCTGCTGCCCACGGAGATGCCGGATAAGCCCGAGTCGTGGAAAGAAGTCCTTGGGGACATAAATCGCGTGATCAAGCCGGGTCTCACCCACTGGCAGTCGCCCAATATGCATGCCTATTATCCCACTAGCACATCATATCCCTCCATTGTGGGTGAGATGTTGGCCAGTGGTTTCGGCGTCATCGGATTCAGCTGGGTAGGTCAGATCGTCGGTGAAATCTCGCTTTTGGTTCATTGTTTTGGCCGGCTGAATGGGCGCCCATTGTGCGCAGTGGGTGAAAGTGAATCCAAGAACTCGACAAACAGGTTACCAATGCACCACTTCGAAGAGAGTTTTCACACAAATCAATTGGCAATTGTCATGATATATATATACATATTTAAATTTATATTGAATTTTTTAGGCAAATTTATAAGCAGTTTGCAAAGCTTAATAATAATTTACGAGCTCTTACTAGCTCATTGTTAAAATAGAGATTAAGGAAAAATGTCAAATTTAAATAATTTTGATATATAAACAAACTTAGTAATATACAAACTCATAAATAGGAATATTAGTTTAAAAACTGTTGCATAGGAAAGTTTTAGAATACATTAAATTCAGTTCCTAACTTTAGGAAGAGTCTTGACTTAGGACCTTTTTCTTACCCTCATGTAAATCTAAAATCATGTTTTAAATTAAGAGGCTGTTTTATCGTCTGCATGTTAATCTAGAATAAGGTGATATTACCCTTTACATTCCCAATAAAACTTAGTTCCAAGATTTGCATATGTTGTAAAGGTTAAAAACTCACCCTATAATTTTTTTTATTACTTTTCAGTGTTTCTGTTTTTTGTACCCCATAGTAATGATATACAAAATGCATACATTTAATATTCTCGCATTAAATATTTAGTCTTATATTCCGAATCTAATGTTCCCCCTCCCCCACAGATCTGCAGTCCCGCCTGCACGGAACTGGAAGTGGTGGTCATGGACTGGCTGGCCAAGTTCCTGAAATTGCCCACCCACTTCCTGCACGCCAGCGAGGGACCCGGAGGCGGTGTTATCCAAGGATCAGCCAGCGAAGCGGTTCTGGTGGCTGTTCTGGCTGCCCGGGAACAGGCGGTGGTCAGCTACAGGGAGTCGCATCCGGAGGTCAGCGAAAGCGAGGTACGAGGTCGCTTGGTGGCCTACTCCTCGGATCAGAGTAACAGCTGCATTGAGAAGGCTGGTGTTTTGGCAGCCATGCCCATTAGGCTGCTCCCAGCTGGAGAGGATTTCGTACTTAGAGGCGAGACCCTGAAGCAGGCCATCGAAGAGGATGTGGCGGCTGGCAAGATTCCGGTGATCTGCGTTGCCACACTGGGCACCACGGGCACTTGTGCCTACGACGATATCGAGACCTTGTCCGCCGTCTGCGAGGAATTCAAGGTGTGGCTCCATGTGGATGCTGCCTATGCCGGCGGAGCCTTTGCCCTGGACGAATGCTCGGATCTGCGAAAGGGTTTGGATCGTGTGGACTCGCTGAACTTCAACCTGCACAAGTTCATGCTGGTCAACTTCGATTGCTCGGCCATGTGGCTGCGGGATGCCAACAAGGTGGTCGATAGCTTCAATGTGGATCGCATCTATCTGAAGCACAAGCACGAGGGTCAGTCGCAAATTCCCGATTTCCGGCATTGGCAAATCCCCCTGGGTCGTCGCTTCCGAGCTCTGAAAGTTTGGATCACATTCCGGACTTTGGGTGCCGAGGGCTTGAGGAACCATGTCCGCAAGCACATCGAGTTGGCCAAGCAATTTGAACAACTGGTGGTCAAGGATTCCCGCTTCGAGATGGTGGCTCCCCGAGCTCTGGGATTGGTTTGCTTCCGTCCAAAAGGAGATAATGAGATTACGACCCAGCTCTTGCAGCGTCTCATGGATCGCAAGAAGATCTACATGGTTAAGGCCGAACATGCTGGTCGTCAGTTCCTCAGATTCGTTGTATGCGGAATGGATTCCAAAGCATCCGACATTGACTTCGCCTGGGAGGAGATCGAATCCCAACTGACGGATCTGCAGAAGGAGCAATCACTGGTCATTCGCAAGGCAGGAAACGTGGCCGATCTAACGCAACACTTCCAAATCCATCTGACCAACGAAAACACAACGCTTGAGAAGTATCAGTGAGAAAAAACGTTTTAACTATTTATGTTTAGGTTGTCCTTAGTTCACTTTGTAGTAGTTAGTTTAAAGCATTTTTATAAATAAAGTTTAATGAAGATTTTGTATCATTAAATAAAATTTCCTGAATAAAGTAATGTCTGTGGGGTTTTTACTTAAAACTTTTTAAAGTTATTTCTGCGAAAAATAATGGACTTAACTTTATTGGGTTCAACGATGATGATTTTATTTTAATAACAATTATTTGTAGTTGAACGCAGTTTGGGGCTAAACTTTACACCAAGTATTGATTGCATCACGGTTATATCTCGCGGAAGACCAATATGGAAATTATTTTAAATAAAATTCAAATAAAATTGTTGGCGCTCAAGTGTGGCTGCCTTTTCTTAAAAACTTCACGTTCAAATATCGATAACATTTCCACGGTCCTATCGATAGGCGCGCCAAGGTCAGAAATCGATAGTTCAGCATGTCTAGTTCTCACAACGAAATTTTGAAAAACGACAAAATTGTAAACAAACCAAATTTAAAACAAAATTCGGAACGTCAGGAAACCAGCCGCTTGCCATGCAATGGTAAGTGAAGTTCCGCTGTGACGCTCTACTGGATTTCTGTGCAGATGACACAGGCGGAATGTACCACAAACTAAAACGACATTTTCTTGTTACCCGTAGTTATAAACTGGCCAGCAGGCGCAGCTTATACAATGCACGGGTGCTCCAGGCGGATCACCTCGGGGACCACCAATGCCGCAGTCCGGATCTCGAGGCTGCTCGCCAGAATGCCCGGATAGTGGTAATCGGCGCTGGACTCGCCGGTCTCTCGGCCGCCCAACATCTCTTGTCCCACGGTTTCCGACGCACCGTGGTCCTGGAGGCCACCGATCGCTATGGTGGCAGGATAAACACCCAGCGCTTTGGCGATACCTACTGCGAACTGGGGGCCAAGTGGGTCAAGATCGATGGGTCCCAGGACTCGATATACGAAATACTGCGCAACACCGAAGGCTTGGGCAAGCAGATAAAGCAGCCGGAGCGACCCACCTATGTCGAGGTGGAGCAAGAAGGTGCTCTTATTAAGCCAGCCATGGTGGAGCTTATCGACACCATGTTCCGGCAGCTCTGTCGTGGCTTTAAACTTTCCGATCGAGTTAAATCTGGCGGTGACCTGCACTCTCTTGACAATGTGATGAACTACTTTAGGACCGAAAGTGATCGCATTATTGGCGCCTCATTTCCAAAGCCGGAGGATCAGCTGGCGGCACGTAAGATCTTTCAGTCGCTGTTTAAGGAGTTCGGCAGCATCCTGGGCTGCTGTCTAGAGTACGTGAACATCGAGCACATTACCAAGTGTCCAGTGCAGCAGGATCTGCGTCCGTTGTTTGTGCCCACCGGGCTGGATAATGTGGTAGATGATCTCATACAGCAGCTGGGCAAGGAGCAGCTGCAGACCGGCAAGCCGGTTGGCCAGATTCAGTGGACGCCTGCGCCGCTGAAGAGTGTGGGCTGTTTGGATGGGAGTCTGTACAGCGCGGATCACATAATTTGTACTTTGCCGCTTGGCGTGCTTAAAAACTTTGCGGGCATCCTGTTCCGACCCACGCTACCGCTGGACAAGATGCAGGCCATACGCAACCTTGGCTTTGGCAATCCCCTAAAGATATATCTCTCGTACAAAAAGCCCATTAGCCGCTGGCTAAAGAGCAACCTGCGGCCACTGGGTACCGTCCTCAATCCCGCCCTGGAACAGCAAGTGGAACGCAACTGGACGCAGCAAGTGGTGGAGATCAGCCAGGTTCCCAGCAGTCAGCATGTGCTGGAGGTCCATGTGGGCGGCGGCTACTACGAGGAGATAGAGAAGCTGCCCGACGACAAGCTGTTGGAGCAAATCACTGAATTGCTGAGACGCTGCATAAGCAATCACTTAGTTCCGTACCCACAGGAACTGCTTCGCTCCAACTGGAGCACATCGGCTTGCTACCTAGGCGGACGTCCCTACTTCTCCACCAGCAGCAGTGCCCGTGATGTCCAGCGACTGGCCGCCCCGCTGGGAGAGAAGTCGCCAAGTCTACTCTTTGCTGGGGATGCAACCTCGCTCAAAGGCTTTGGAACCATCGATGCTGCCCGCTCCAGTGGCATCCGAGAGGCCCAACGCATCATTGACTTTTATTTCAACACCATGCAATGTGTTTAAATGCAATCGAAAATCCAAATTGGCTCCAAAATTGTACAAAGTATCGGCATAGAATCAAACTAGTCAAAATTTATAGTTACAATCGTTTGTATTTTTAAGCAGAATACAATATGTTTTATTTAGGCGTAGAACGTTAACAATAAAAGCATTAACAACATCAACAATACGATGATAGGACACTTAAATACTAATGAAGGGATGGAGGAGAGTAAGCCTGCCATCTTTTATTGCGATGTAAATTCCCTAAACATGTCGCAAATGAGTTATAGTTAAAGGTCTGTTTCGTTATTAATTTCACATAATGTTACCATTACAATACTTAACTTTAAAGTCGAAATACTTGTGGTAGCTTGGTCCATTCGTTAACATTTTGTAATAATGAAATTTTTATATTTTCTTTTATAGATAAAACCCGAAACAGACCCTTGTACAACCACATTACTTCTCCTTTTCCATTTCATCAGCAGCGGCACTGACCTCCTTCCAGGAGTACTCCATATCCTCGGACTGGGTAAAACGTGAGCAAATGGCCATACGCAGGAAGTACACATCCTTGATTTTGGCAGGAACCATGTGGATGTTGCCGCGTCCATTGATTCGCTTCAGCAGGACTTCATTCTGCTCGTTGTTGCCCTTCAAACGGAAACAGACCAGTCCCATATTCACCTCGGCGGCCAGTTCGAATCTGGAGTCCGCCACACAGAGATCACCGAATTGCTTAGCAAAATTGCAATGCCTACGGATGTGTGCCTGGAGATTCTCCACGCCGTAGAGTCGGAGGACGAACCAGAGCTTCAAGGCGCGGAAGCGACGTCCCAGTGGGATCTGCCAGTGGCGGTAATCCGGAGCTGATCCCTGCATATCGTGCTTCAGGTAAAGGGGATCTACATTGAAGGCGTTGACCACCCAACTGGGATCCTTCAGCCACATGGCCGAGCAGTCGAAGTTCACCAGCATCCATTTGTGTGGGTTGAAGTTGAAGGAGTCTGCTGATTCTATGCCCTTCATCAGGTGTCGATACTCGGGACAGATGAAAGCGGAACCGGCATAGGCGGCATCCACATGGATCCACACATTGTGCTTGTTGCCCACGGGTCCGCACTCGTCCAGGTAGTCGAAGGCACAGGAGTTGGTGGTGCCCAGGGTAACGACGGCGTAGAAGGGAATCAAACCCTTGGCCAGATCCTCTTTGATGGCCGCATCCAAAGCACCACCACGCATCCGGTGATTTTCCGAGGGCACCGAACGGAGCCTTACACCTCCCAGAAGTCCAGCCCTTTCCACGGAAGAGTGAGCTTGGTCCGAGCAATAGCCCACCAGCTTGCCCAAGATGGTGTGCTCATCCCACTCCGGATGCTCCTCCTTCACTTCCTTCACCTTTTTGGCCTTGGCTCCCAGGAGCGCCACCAATGTGGACTCACTGGCCGTTCCCTGGATTACACCGCCTCCCTTGCCACCCGAACAGGCCAAGAATTCGGCGGGCAAATCCAGCATCTTGCCCAGCCAATCCATCATGACCACTTCCAGTTCCGTGCACGCAGGACTGGCAATCCATGTGAATCCTATGCAGGCAATCGCACCACTCAGCATATCGGCCACAATCGCTGGATACGAGTTGGCCGTGGGGAAGTAGGCGTGGAACTTGGGACTGTGCCAGTGGGTCACTCCCGGCATGATGACGCGTTCGATGTCCTCCATCACATCCTGCCACTTCTCCGGCTTCTCGGGCGCCTCATCCGGAATCAAGGGCTTCAGGTACCCGGGCTTCACTTCCGGCAGAACGCGCCTGTAAAAAGGATAATTGCATTAGCCTCTTGATTTCATTTGGCCCATTCAGGAAAAGCTTCTTGCTAATTGGCTGTGAAACTCAGTTAGCCCACAAAGCAATCAGGAATCGGGCGAGAAGGAGTGGGGAAAGCATCCCCCACTTGTTGCCAGTGGGAGTAAAAATCAATAGGAATGTGTAACAAAGTGTTAATGGAAAGGATAAAGACAGCAAAAGCTGATAACGACAGGATTTCTATACCAATTCAAGGGGAAATCTCTGGGGCTTAGAAAAAATTAATAAAAAAGAAAAAATTATGAAAAATATATAATATAAAACGCCAAAAAACCCAAAAATATATTCTCCTTTATAAATAAGTTCAATCATAATAATTAGTCATTGTCATTAGTAAAAGTTGATTTTAAAATAACCTGTTTATAAATTAATAATTTTACCGTTAAAGATAGCAAAAGCTGATATTGACATAATTTAATTTGTCTTCTGTTTCAAATCACGTTAAAATCTCAGGGGATAAGAAAAAATAAATGGAAATATAAAATTCTTTGAAATTTTATTATATAGAACTCTACAACTTCAAAAAAATATAGTCTCAAAGAAACAAAAGTTATACAACTTTCCTTTATAAATAAATTCAATAAAAATATATAGTCATTGTCATTAGTAAAAGTTGATTTTAAAATAACCAGTTTATAAATTAATAATATCAGCGACTGCAAATGGGCGAGCAATCTCAGCAGGTGCTCTTTATAACACAATGTAATAAAATTGATTACTTTACCGACTCGGATTTTCAAGGTGATGGAAACGAAACCGTTAGAATTGCCCAAGAATAATGAAACCCCAGTCGTTTTTGGCCAAGGTGTTTGTAGTATAGTACAATTATATCTACATAAAAATCGACCTTGACACGCCAACTTTAAAAAACCTTTTTACTGCCGCAATAATTAATTAGTTTTAGGCTCAAAAGCATGGGCAAAAAAAACTGTGAAAGTAATTGGCATTATAGCTAAGTGGAAGGCCGCTTAAAAAGCCTTTATAAATATATATAATATATATATTTAACAATGCAAAGGTCCGATTGGCGCGACTTTCCCATGACTAATGCTCAAACGTGTTCTAAATGTCATTCACTTGCCCGGAATCGAACAGAACGAACTTTCAAATTGAACGCAAAGCGTTGAGGTCAAGCAACAGATTCCATATAAATAAATTCTATATGTATCATCGAGTGAGACAAATCAAATGTAATTTAAGTTAATTGCTTACCTTTCGCGTATGTTCTCCAAATACTCGGCTATAAAATCCACCATTGTTTTGGCAAAATCTTTGAACTCTGGTGCCTCCATGTCGATCTTTTGGTGCGGAGTAAAATAAATAGGTCAATATGGATTTTTGGTTGGGGTTTGGAAAACCCTATAGACATACCGAAACCTTGGGATCCAGCTTATCTTCCAAAATGTTAGCTTTACCATTACCATTACTTTGTTTTGATGGGCTAATGTTATTAGTGGGCAATTTGCTCATTTTTAGATTGGTAAAGTTTTTTTTTTAATGGATTCAAGAGATTAGTGCTGATAGAAGGGAACATGTGCGATTATTAAAATGGTGCTTATGAGTTATTTGTAGATAATGCTTATCATTAGCAGTTGCGATTTGTATAGTTAGTGATTACTTAATAATGAACTAAGCTTTTAATTACATAGAATGAAAATGAAGTTAATTCCTTTAACAAATACTAGAAAGTGTTTTTGTTTTGCTTGGATGCTTTGATTAAGTATGAACTGTTAATGAATATGATAATTAGAATGTTTAATGCATTCTTGCATTAATTATTACTGGATTATTTTTTCTCAATTCACATTTTATCAGCTTAAACAAGTTGGCATTGGGATGGCGACTTGTTGCCAGCAAATAAGCACACAAAAACAAATTTTAATAGATACACAAACATGCAGATACCAAAAGTTGGAAAAATTAGGCATTTAAGAATGCTGAGGCGAGCGTGGAAATTAAAGTAAAGCAAGGCTAGATGCCCAGTTTTAGATACATATATAAAATGTACATCATCTTAAACCACATTAAGTATACGCAGCGTTAGCCCCGAAATGAATTTTTTTTCATGCACTCATTATGTTGGCCAAGCACTCCGGGTATTTAAAAACCCAAAGGCACACACGTGTACACTTTAACTAACTACCTTTAATTATTTGCACTTGTCGAGCTTTGTTTCCGTTTCGAACTAAATCTTTGCCCAACTTGAGTTTGCCTTGGTGTTTTTCAGCTGCAACTATTTATAGTATATTCTGTGTGGAATCGCTTAAATGGTCTGTTGTGCGCTCGACGTTCGCCTCTTAACTGAGCGCTGCTCGCTCTTGGCCAAGGCTTTTAAAGCCCGGCCAGCTGCGCTGCCAGTTCCGCAGGACCGGTTCAATTTCAATCCACATCCACTGCCGCTGAACTTCGACGGCGGGTTGTAAAAATACATTCTGCACGTTCTACAGGTGATTTTGGGTGATTTTTAAGGAACATGCATTAATTTGTGGGTGATTCAGTAACTGGGAAGTAAACTTGTTATCAGAAAAGGTGGTGTTTACTGTATAGGATCCCCTGAAGTTTTGAATTCTACCTATATCAGCTTCAAAAAGATATCCTAAAACATTTTGGTAGAGCTTTAAATATATAAAATATTTTTCGGGGCTTATAATAATTTCTTTCACATTATTATATATTATTTATTAGCTTAATGCTCAAAGAGCCTACAAAACTGCAACAATACTTAATATGTTTTTTTTTTGTTGAAAATGAACCATTTTTAAGAAACCTTCAACAATTTGTACTACTTTCTTTTGACCACAAAAATATTTTACAGCTTTTAAAAAAACTAATAAAATATTGATAAGAAGCCTTATATTATTTATAAGTTTTTAAAATATTGAATGCTGGGATATAAAATGTAAAACAATTTAAATCTTCTTTATAAACCCATTAAAGCACATTGATTTGTATTCTCCTCACGTGCTTTCCAACTCCACCTTAAGAAAAAGAGAGCGATCGCGGCAGGAATCCCCCTTCATGAGTCACTGAAAGCAGGGTTTTTCTTGAGCTCCGCAGAAAATAAAAAATCACGCAAAATAAGATAAACAAATTAAAATTCATAGAAGAGGCAAGAAATGGATTATACTGCGAATGGCACGCTTTACGCGCATCTACGGAACCGGTTTTCAAAGCATCATATGTGACGTGGTTTTGAACCGCTCATGGGCTTGTGACGTCAAGTAATCGCATCCTCACTCACTTTCCCGTTGTACTAGGGGAAGTAAGCTAGGTTGAGCCTTTTAAATGGAAGTAGGAGTAGGAATTGCACAGAGAAAAAAGAGGAAACTTGATTAATTTCAATTCATTTGTATATGTATTTTAAAAAATTAAATGAAGATGAGATGAATTTACCACTTTTTACATAAAGTAGAATATTTTTTAATTGTGGCAAAAATGCAAGTTCAAATCCCTATCCTGAAAAAAAATATTTTTTTTTGTTGAGTTAGTCTTGAAAATGTCACCCACTCAAAAGCTTTATTTAAAAATTGAAAAAAATAAATAATTTTACATCATTAAATTTAATTATTATATCATACCATTTTTTTTTTCGTTTGGGGTTGATGGGAGTCCTGCGGGTGGACCAACTGTTGCTGAGTGCGAAAGAAGTGTGTGTGCCTGACATTTCAACGAAGCCACTTTGACAAATCACTTGACTGAATCAACAGATTTATATGCCATGCCAACGGCTCTGCTTTCGATTTTAATGCGTTGGGTGCACCACCCAACCACCCCACCATCCAGCCTCCCAAAACACCCAGCCACCCACATTGTGCTTCTTTACGGGTGGCTGAAGTTCGGTACGATTGGGGCATAGAATACTACAATTTGATTTATGGCCGACTTGAGTTGCGAATGAATAGTAGACCATGGCGTTTATGGGGGTCGAATGGCGCCTTGAAGAGGGGGATTGCATAACAAAGCAGAAGAGGTAAAAGAGGGTGGAGATAACCCATGGAATATTTGGTCCGTTTCAAATAGAGGAGCTTTAAAGGGGCACGTATTTATAGTGAGCGATAGGACTGATAATAATCAATTTGGCTAGTAAATATTATGGTACACAAGAATTGATTTCGGCTTTATCAAGATTTTGACATTCAAGGTGACGCCACTGTGGAGCAATAACTTTTAACTGGGTATAAGGTCTTTGAAACCATAGTTTACCTGTATAAATTCATAAAAATTTAAAATACTGCAAGATTTTATTTGTTTATGAATTAAATTAAATTGAAAAAAACTGACTCTCGACTATCGAATACCTGTTACTCTGCTAAAGGGAGTAATCCCAACAGAAAAGCGACTTATTCACAGACTGTAAAGCGCCGTCTAGAGCTTTTTCCTAATTTTTCATAACTTCATAATGAATGGTTTTATATTAACTATATGTAGATGGGTACTTAAATATATTCAAAACAAAATCCCATTGTGAAAGTGTAACATAATCTTCATAAATGTGGGCACTAGATGAAATAAACTTGCGCAGCGCAAGAATCTCTGGAATCTGCTGCTAGTTCGACTCGACAAGTGGTACCGATCAAGAATATATACCCTTTAAAGGGGCAGAAACGCTTCCTTTTACCTTTTACGTACTTTCCGTCGAATCTCAAGTACCCTTCTTACTCTTCGAGTAACGGGAATACAAATATATATAAACCAATTCAAATATGTTGTAATCCAATGTCATAAACGATTACAACTAAAACTGGTAGCTTTCTAAAAAATATAATCGAGTTAATTATACAACAGCCCTGTTTCCCTTTTCTCATTATTTCATCTTAATTATTTAGTAACCTAATTACAAAATAATCATCCCGAATTAGAAAGGCAGCTCAAGTAGGGTTTATTATTTATTGTGTTTTCTCATAATGAAATTTTCTCGTGGTCTATGTTTCTTTTATACACTGGAGTTGTCTTAGCCAGATGCAGATCTTAAGGACCAATTCAGCAGGACGCGCACACCAACGACTCAAACGGAAACAACAAAAGTTGAGACGCATTTGGAGCGCGCACTGTGACCGGATTTTGAACCCGATCGGGAAGATAATGGAAAAACCGATTACATGAGACAAATTTTGGTTGTTTCGCTTAATATTCTCCAGTCAGTCGGGCGAACGCATTAGAGTAGTGCATATTTCAGCAGAAACAAAATCGAAAAGTACTTAGTAAATGCTATAGGTAGTTACAACTTAACGGAACTAGATGCACCCAGCTACTGCGCGATGGTGGATGGCAGATTGAGCAGCGTGCTCTGTCCGCTGGGCAAATAGGCGACTCCGCGAGACCTGGATAGCTGGTAGGCAATATCCTCGGCGGCCTCGATACGTCGCAGCTCCACCAGACCGTCTCCGGCCTCGCCGAACGACTTGGCCAGCAGGCCAGCGGCTTCGGCGTCACCCTCCGCGGAAATGATCGAGGCCAGCTTCTGCTGCTCGGCCTTCTCCACGACGAAACGAGCTTTCTCAGCTTCCTGCTGGGCCACCTGCTTCATCTCGACGGCCAGCGTAAACTCCCGACCAAAGGTCAAGTGTGTGAGCGAGATGTCGTCCAGAATGAAGCCGAACTGCTTGGCACGGATGGTCAGTTCCTGGGAAACACGCTGGGACACCATCTGCAAGGGGGTAAATGTATTTAATAGGTGTTAAGTAGTTGTTAAAGAAATTTAAACAGTTTGATTATGTATAATATCTTGATTTGGCCGCCTGATTCTAACTAGTTCAAGAGGTAAATACTTTTTTAAATACTGCATAGAATACTTAGCTTGATTCGATTACTTGATTATCTCTATGGTCTGTTTTAACAAAATATTGCAGAAAAAATGGTAATAATTCTTCAGAATATGGAGACAAATTCAATCCAAATATTAAGATCTACGAGTATAAACAGACAAACGGGTCCTATGTAACAATTTCAGAATATGCTGGGTAGATATATACAAATTCTACGGCATAACAACGGACATCTATATCTTAAAGTTCCAAATCTAATAAGCTGGTACTACTGGAAGTTATATAGATTATACAACCAATTCCTCTGCTCTAAGAACCCAGATTTCTGCCAACCAACGAAGGAATCTTCTCTGGTGCTACCCACCTCACGCTGGGTGATCAGCTCGCCGGCATCGAATTGGGCGACCACAGCCTTCAGCACCTCGGGAGCAATGGAGGGCAGGACACGCTCATCGTAGTCCTGGCCGAGGATCGTGTAGATCTTGGGCAGCTGGTCGGGAATGGGACGGTACAGGATGCGGAGCGTGATGTTGACATTCTGCAGATCCTTGCTGCCTGTAATCACGGGAACGTTGCGGGGCTGCGACCGGATGTCGAAGATGATGGGCCGCTGCACCCAAGGGATGAAGAAGTGGGTGCCCTCGCCGACCACGTTCTCCTTGATGCCGGTGAAGCGATCGAAGATGACCGCCCGGTGGCCGCCCTCAACATTATATAACGCCGAGTTGACAACGCCACCCAAAACGGCCACTCCAAGGCCCATTTGGCCGATGCGATTGAAGAACTGAGCAGCCATTATCTAATGGAAGAACAAAACGTTAAGTATTTTGTCACTGTCTTATAACTATGTATGTAAATAAAAAGCCGACTGGACTTGGAAATTTCATCAGCTTTTTAGGTTAGATCGTCATGACCAGAGGACAACGTGCTGTTTGTGTGTTTTTATAGACAGTTCAGTGGAATTTTCAACGCAGATGTTTCGCCCCGCCTTCACACTTACTTATTAAAGCTTTTTGGTTTCAATTAAATTGAATTATTGTGCAATTATGCCCTTTGAAATACAAAACACGAAAATCCAACCGCACGGCAACTGTTATCGATAAAACAGAGTTGACAGGGCGCCAGCACTTATCGATTACATTGCTATGTAATGGCTTGGAATATGACCCATAGATGGCGCCACCGAGCATTTCTTAAGATTATCGATAAATTTATTATCTTAGCGCCAACATTCGAAAATCAAATGTAATCAACAAATATTTTTTGTTTTGTAAAATATAAAAAACCGTTCCTAAATTTGGGAACATAATAAATTTTTTTTAATTTGAACCTAATAAACCCCAAATTAGTGTGCCATTTCGGCCCGCCCAGTGACCTTCGGCATCTTCTTATTCGTTGAATCCTCCAGTTCCTTGGCCTTATAATAATGCGGTGCAACCTCCAGCAGCCACTTGCTCTCGATCTCGATGACCTGACGCATGTACTCCTTGGAGGTGAATACCAGCTCATGGTAGAGCACCCACCGAGGCAGCTCCTCAAAAAGCGAAGAAT